CTACTGATTACAAATTTTGGGGATTTGGGATCAGAACACCATAATCTGTATCCTTTCACCCCAGAAGCATACCCAAAGAAAATACATTTTTTAGCTCGAGGCTCTAATTTTCCTTCATTTACATGCATGTATGTTGGACACCCAAAATTTTTTAAATCAGAGTAATCAGTAGGAGTACCTGACCAAACTTCCTCCGGAGTTTTAAAGTTAAGTACTGCAGAAGGAGCGTGGTTGACAATGTAATAGGCCATATTAATCGCCTCTGCACAAAAGTCCTTTGTCAACCCTGCATTTGAGATCATACACCTTGCTCTCTCCAAGAGTGTTCTGTTCATACGTTCGACCACACCATTTTGCTGAGGTGTCATCCTAATAGTGCGATGCCGAACGATTCCTTCATTTTTGCAAAATTCATTAAAGTCACATTCACAAAATTCCATGCCATTATCTATTCGAAGCCGCTTAATATGTTTACCTGTTTATTTCTCAATCAAAGTCTTCCATTGTTTAAAGGTTAGAAAAACATCATTTTTATTCTTCAAAAAATAAACCCAAACTTTCCTGGAATAATCGTCAATGAAAGTCAACATATACCTAGCACCACCCTTAGACTGAACATGAGCTGGACCCCAAAGGTCTGAATGAATATAGTCAAGAGTACTTTTCGTTTTGTGAACTGCCGGAGAAGTGAAGCTAACTCTTTTCTGCTTTCCAAAAATGCAGTGTTCACAAAAATCAAGTGGCCCAGTACTCTGTCCGCAAAGTAGACCCCTTTCGCTCAATATGCTCAAACCTTTTTCGCTCATATGACCCAAACGCATATGCCATAATTTGGTGATGTCAGAATCAGACAATGATAATGACGAAACTGCAACCGAACCTATGACAGTAGTTCCCTACAGAATATACAAGCTACCAGACCTACAAGCTTTCATAACAATAAGAGCACTTTTAGAAATTTTCATAACTCCACCTTCAGTTGTGTATTTACACCCAAGGGCCTTTAGGGTGCCTAAAGAGATGAGATTCTTTTTTAAATCAGGAACATGTCTAACATTAGTGAGCGTCCTCACAATACCATCATGCATTTTAATTCGGATTGTGCCTCTACCAACAACATCACATGCGACATTATTGCCCATTAAAACAATTCCACCATTACAAGATTCATATATGGAAAACAAATCCCTATTGGGACACATGTGATAAGAACAACCCGAATCTAAAATCCATTCATTTTTAGACCTCATCCTGTCATCAATAGCAGAAAAAATATTTCCAACAATCTCATCAGTTGCTACACTAACTTCAGCGGATTCAGTAGTTTTATCAACAAATTTTTCCTTTTGTTTTAATTTATTTTTTAATTTAAAGCAATCAGATTTAATGTGCCCCATTTTATGACAATATCTGCATTCCAAATTTCTATGTCTAGATTTAGATCTACTACTATCAAATTCTCTTTTATCCATTCTCCCCCTAACAACCAGACCCTCAGCCTGATTCTCTCTACTTTCCCCAGTGATATTCCTGTCTATCTGCTCCTTAGATTTCAGTGCAGATTTAATTTCTTGATACAAAACTGTTTCTTTTTCATAAATCAAAGTATCACGGAAATGCTTAAAAGATTGGGGAAGAGAACACAAAGCCTTATCCTCATCATCAATTTTTGCATCTATATTCTCCAAATCCATAACCAAAGAATCAAACTTATCAAGATGCGAGAGTATAGATGTACCTTCAATCATCCGAAGCATATACAGACTCTGCTTCAAGTAGAGACGATTCTCCACTGTCCTCTTCATGTACAAGGCTTTAAGCTTGTCCCACATGCTCTTAGTCGTAGTCTCCGTAGCTACCTCCCGTAAAACCTCGTCAGAGAGATTTAGAATGATGCTTGATCGGGCCTTTTTATCCATACCCGCAAGCTCTTCTTTTGACATATCATCTGGAATGCTCTCGACTCCCTGTAGTACCAAATCAACTCCATCTTGAACCAGAATGACCTCCATCTTGAGTTGCCACAAGCCGAAGTTGAGATTTCTGTCGAATTTCTCGATAACAATCTTTGTTATTGTCATCGTTGCCAAAAGATCCCGAAACCAAGCTCTGATACCAGTTTGTTAGAGCTAGCCCCAGGAAATTTACCACAAGGTAATTTTGACAACCCAACAAGACAATAAAACAGAAAGAATAAAAGCGAGATAAGAACACCAGATATACGTGGTTCGGTCAATTGACTTTGACCTACATCCACGGACGAAAGAGGAGCAAATTACTACTGCAAAAGAGGGACAATTACAAATGCCTTAGGAAGATGTTCCTAGGCTATAAAACACCTGAAAATACTAAACAAGAAAAACCAAACTATAAGTCTAAACTATTTAACTGAGTATGGACTTAAACCAAAGCAAACACTTAGGTTTTTCTTGTGGTGCCACTTGTGATGCATCTGACTTCAAAGCTCAGACCCTTATTTATAGTTCCAATATGAGACAACAAGTCTGATTTTCTCGATGTGGGACTATGAGACTTGCCAAACTAATTTCTCATGAGAGATATCTCCCACTACCAAAGTTTCTCATCCTCGTCTCCGATGTCACATCTTCTCCGGTGTGACCTTTGGTCATCGATCGAGCATTGTGTTTATTGTAGCGATCGTACCGAAGAGAGGAACCGAAGTTAATTATGGCCAACATTCGTCAACTTTTGATCGATAAGGATAATTTTAGAATTATGATATTATTGTTACGTATTGGGACAAATTCTTTAGGTTTTCTCTGCATAGGATAGGAATGACGTTTGTGTCAAATCATATTAAAATACCTATGTTTGTTCTATGCCTTTCTAATATTTTTTTTTAATCTCAATTTGATCGATATTTCACCACTCCACAGCCTACTAATCCTTCCTACAAGTTTCTTATCAGCAGAATGAAGCCCCCATGCAGTGAGTGATCTTGGTTTGAATTTAGACTTTGTTCAGCTGATTTAGCCATTACATTACATGTTATCCATCAACAACAAGTCGAAGAGGTTGTCCTTCAAAGCAGCCTATCAGCCATCACAACACTGATTCCCATATGTTATCCTAATTTGAGCTTCTCGGTGTCAGTGGGAGTCCCCATATGTTCTCTAAATCGGAAGCACGTAGGTGCGTGCCAGGAATAAGTTCTTCTTGCTTTAAATTATTGTGCACGGGAGACAGGAATATGTTCTTCCTGTCTGTCGCGGACACCTCTCGTATAGTATCAATTAAAAAGTATACACTGCTTCCTACCAGAAGAAAAATATCAACACCTTCCGAAACTTCTTGCATCTATCTTTCTTTATGTGTTTATTTTGATTTAGATATGTCAAGTCATGAAAGTTGTATACGTAGATGCTACATACATTCATTTTTCTCCTTTGCATGCACCCCAAAAAGATTGTTTTTCTTTCGGATGAATAAAAAGAATTTGGTCATTTCTAATTCGACATCCCATTTTTCATGTAAAAAATCTATTTTAGACTATAAACAAGTTATTATAAGAGTTGTACTATCAAAAAAGATTATTTTGATACTTAATATCTCATGAGCAAAAATAATATTGTATGTCATGGACTTTCATTAGAAAAGATTTAGTATATCATATTTGATTCCAAGAATATTGGTTTCTAACATGACATATATCAGGAATTATTGAATATTTATGATTAGGATCTACGTATCATCAGTCTTTAATTGGCAGAGAAGATGCATGACATTCTACCCAATAATGTTATTAGATTAGCATATCAATCTTCAATCTCGATTCGATACTGTGCACAAAATCTGATGCAATTATTAGGAATGGGATCTGCATTTGAACCTTACATTCTTCCTTGGCAGATCCGGATTCAAATCAAAGGTTAAGCCAATAGATATGACATATATTCTAGTGATTGATTAATCACCCTAACAAGCTTTTTCTAGGAAGCATTGTTCGTATGGTACCTACCTCTTTAACATATCCAGGATGATATATATATCTTCTCTGTTCTATAGGAAGCATGGAGCGTTGACTAGGTAGGTGCAGACAACATTTGTTTGACCACAAGGAAGACATGTTCTTTTGGCTGTTGACTCTACTCTGCAGACATCATCATCTTGTAAGAAATTAGACATTGTTTGCTGGTTTTATCGAAAGATTTCCAGCTTCATATGCTCTCTGTCTACTATAATAAATATGCAGAGCTTCTCACTCTTGTTCACGTATGTTCTCTCAACTGCTCACATAAGGTTACAGATGCAGGGATTCATTCTATTGCACCAGTAGATTCGATCATGCCAGGATCACACTGTCTTCCGATGAATAATGTACTGCATTTGCAGACACCTAATCGTTCGCTCCTTCCTTGGGAATGCAGAGGAAAGAACATTGAAGTACAAACCCTGCTCTCGTCTGCTGTCTCTTTGTACCAAAGAGTTTAAAGAAATGGCAGTGGTTGGACCTGTGTTTCTTCGATGGATTCATTCCCTCACAGATTATTCGACATATAATATGTACTCAGACCTTATGCTGATTCCGGAATTGACGTTGAGATTCTGAATCTATAATTTTAATTATTATATTTTGATAATTATAATCCAACCCTATAAAGATTGATTTCGGAATCAGAATCAGAATCAGAATAGTTTAAAATAATAAAAAAATTTATATATATTAATTGTGAACCAAAGGTTTATAATTTGATTTGAAACCAATATAAATCATGCTATCGATTCGATTTTAATTCCAGCTTGCTTCTTTATGATTTGATTGTGATTGTGATTGTTTGTTTCTAACTCTACAGCAAAAGTTGATCATCACTGAAAGATAATTATTCATCACATGAAGCTTTAATTATCGTCACCACTGCCCATCACTCTATCCTTCATACCCTTCCCTCTCTCTCTCTCTCTCTCTCTCTCTTTCATTATTCCAATGTGACCACCATATCAATTCGATTGGATGAAGTGTGTAGCTCTCTATCAATATATATACTCCCACTGCCACTCTCCTCTATTACTCCCTCTCATCGGCCTCTTCTTTTGTGCCCTCTCTTCACGATGCATCTCGCCTTGCTCATAAGCCTCGTGTTGGCCGCCGTCTTCTCGTCTATTATCTTTCTTTCCTTCGCCTGCGTTAGGATGTTCCGCAGGTGGAGGATACCGCTCTGCTACTCGTGTTGCGACTTGGACGACTTGGAGCTCGGTCGCGTCGCCGACGGACCGGAGACCGAGACGGAGCAGGAGAAGGAGAAGGAAAAGGGGACGGCCGTTTGGCGGTTCGGGTGGGCGGAGATTGAGTCGCTCACCGGGAAGTTTGCGGCCGCCGCCGTGATCGGCGAGGGCGGGTCCAGCACCGTCTACCTCGCCCTTCTCGGGGACGCCTCCCTCGGCGCACTCAAGCTCCACCGCCCCAGCGAGCGCCTCTACCGGGCCTTCCGCCAGGAGCTCGACGTTCTTCTCCGCCTCCGCCACCCCCACATCGTTCGCCTCCTCGGTTACTGCGACGACCGCGGTTCGTGCCTCTGCCCGCCGCCCATCTCATCTTCTTCTCTCTCATTCTCTCGACGCTTTCAACGTGTTTGATGATTCGTTCATGGTTTCCCTTCCCAATCGCAGAAGAAGAAGGCGTGTTGGTGTTCGAGTACGTGCCCAACGGCAGTCTCCACGAGAAGCTCCACGGCGGCGGCGGCGGGGAGGTGCTGCCGTGGGCGCGACGGATGACGATCGCGTACCAGGTGGCGCAGGCGCTCGACTACCTACACGAGGGGTGCGACCCCCAGGTCGTGCACGGCGACGTCAAGGCCGCGAACGTGCTCCTCGACGGGCGGCTGCAGGCGAAGCTGTGCGACTTCGGGTCGGCCCGGGTGGGCTTCTCGGCGGCGGTGGCGCCGCCGCGCTCCGCCGACGCCATGGTGGTGGGCTCCCCCGGCTACGTCGATCCTTACTACCTCCGCTCCGGGATGGTCTCCAAGAAGAACGACGTGTACAGCTTCGGCGTGCTGCTGCTAGAACTGGTGACGGGCGCGGAGGCGTTCGACTCGGAGAGGGAGCGGCAGCGGCTGACGGCGGAGGTGGGCCCGGTGCTGCGGGACCCGGAGGGGCGAGCGGCGGAGGCGGTGGACGCCAGGCTGGGCAGCAAGTACGACGCCGGGGAGGCGAAGGCGGCGGCGGCGGTGGCGGCCATGTGCGTCGGGGACAACCCTGGCCTCCGCCCCTCGATGGCGGAGGTGGTCAGGATGCTGCGGGACGCGGCGACGTCTTCCATCGCAGCCGTTGCGTCAAAATCCGACGGCAAGAGCGACATGTCGTAGAAGTCAAACAATAGAAAAGAAACGCCGTTCTGATTCGTGCCTTTCGTCGTCTCAACTTTATACAACGTCGACTACACGTAGGAAATAGGTGGAAAAATATTGTATGTATACTACGCAGTTGAAGTCAGCATATTCCCGTTTGACTTTTTTTGTCTTTTCTGTGCCTTACACTCGCCTCCTCTCTTCTCCTTGGAAACAACTTGGTTGGCACGTCGCAGGTGTGGCCTCCTCGTTGCCTCATTTCCTGTCGTTGTCGGCAATCACCACTGGTTGTAGTCAATTATGTATAAACGTCAATCTTAGATACCTATATGCTAATAAGTTCCTGTTATCGTATAATTCACCATGGTGACATGATTATGGTGTACGAAGACATGATATGATTTCAGCTACGCTAAGTAACACTATGTTAAGGACATACACCATCGTTCAAGAAGCTGGATTATAGGCGTACATATGAGATATATCAGTCAATCATATCCATAAAAGGAGGCATTATGGCTGCCATTTCTTCATCAGCTACACGAGAAATAAATGCAGGATGATGCCTGCTACGAGCTCCAATGACAAGTATTAATCTCCACCCATCAGGTGGATCTTTTTCCTTCGTTACACGTAAGAAACACGCTCATCGATCCCCTAAATGATCCATAGACAGATCAAATAGCAGGCAGTGCTAAATAACAATAATCGCGATTGATGGGGGAGAACATCCCACGTTGGTTGCATGCTGACATCGGCTGTGGTACCTCTCATTACATTACCCTTCTGTCCATTGGCAGTAAGGGTACACTCTCGTGACTCACAAACATCTCTCACCCTCGCAACAATAACGGAGCAGGTGAAACGAGCATGATTGATTTCATACTCCGTACCTCGGAACGACAACCTACATCTGATGACTGTCACCGATAATCCTAAAAGCTTGCTGGTTTTACTCCAAGAACGGACAGGAAACAAGCTACTTGGAGATTGAGAGACCCACCATTGACGACGGCTAAGCTCAAAGCACAGGAAGTCTTCCTCCTTTCCAGCTGCTCTTTCACAGCTGGAACACCGCGAAGCGTCGCTTTCCAACTTAAAACTCTCGGCGCCACCCTTGAGAAGTTATCTTCTTCATCTGTCCATGGGGAGGGAAGCTGATGCATGTGGCGTACATGCGAGCACATGGTTTTCTCTTCAGTTCCCATCCTTCAGCTTTAATAATGGTGCCACAGCAGAGGAAGCCAAGACTCGAGCAGTGTTCCACTCTTGCTCCTGCCATCTAATCACTCGGCCCACCTGTCATGTGATGTGTGGTATGACTTGCAGCTCACACAGCTCCAAAGCTCCCTGCTTTTAAAGGCTACGAAGATGATAAATGATGAGGAGCAAAAGCCATCTGCGTAACGTGGAAGGCTTCCGTCCGTAGTGAAAGTTCATGTGGGGTTTTCAACGATAAGCCACTGTCAGGATCAAAGGCATTCACGTGCTTCTTCCCCGCTTTGCATGCCATCACGAGACTGCTTCCTGCGCTGGATTTGCTTTATCATTTGGATCCATTTGCATTTGGCATATGAAGATGGATATGGAGGATGCCATCACGAGCTTGCCTCCTGCGCTGGATTTGCTTCATCACTTGGATCCATTAGGCATATGAAGATGGATGTGGAGGGGTAGTCGAAATCCGACAGCGCCATCACCGCGTCGCCTTCCACGTTGCCCAAAAGGGTGACACACGAATGAGAACTCCACTGGAAGATGCTGCAAACCAAAGAGGAACAAGTAGAAACAGTAAACCCTTGACATAAGCTGTTAAGAAACACCAAATCAAGTAACAGATCCAGCAAACTTCACATACAAGAATTCTAGGAGCTGCTATCAGTTGCCATGGTATCAGAGAGTAGGGGACGGTAACAATGAAGTGCCGAGCCTCTTTGCCCTGTGGGACCAACTGATAGCACACTCTTGTCACCTTTGTCTTTCTACATCAGTGCTCTTCTTTGGTGCAATAACTCTCTCTTCTTGGTTAATGCCATTGCTATTTTGCTTGGTTTCTTCCTCGCAACTGACACAGTCAGATCATGTAACTCCAAAGCACATGTTTCAACTACTTGTATCTCTTTTTAATACGGCCGCCTTCCCGCGGAACAACTGTGTCCTAATTTCCTCATCTTGCAAAAGCACTAAGGACTAAAACCAGAAGAATTCATCAGTGCAAGGCCATCAATGCTGTTGAGCAACCTGAGAGTATCTAAATACCGTCCATCTCATTTGTGCTGTCCCTTTGGTAAAGCAAGAGTTCCTAGAAGAAGAGTTTTTGATGGAAAATATTTCTTAAGAGTTTATTCTAGGTAAAAAAATCAGCTAAAAACAATCATCAATTAGTTGGCTAGAAACTCTAGGAGTTGTATGAAAAATTGAAAGAGTCTTTTGTTCTTTTTAGGTGCTAATCTTAGGACTCTATTTCTGTATCAAGTGCACCATTTTTCTTTTTCTCAGCTATAATAAATTAGCTTAAAAATATTTAAATATATTAGGAGTCACATTTTGAGTGTTTAAAAGGCATACAAGTTTTTTAAGAGGTTACTCATGGGAATCATTGTCTTCATTGATTGTACTAAGGCTCCCAAACCCCTATAAATAATGGAGCTTGTCAATGCATGAGAAAGACATGAGGTAGACACCCTACAAACCAAACTAGCATATCACAGTAAATTACTAAGTTCTTGCCCCCAAGTGCCCGGGTGAGCTGAGACGAGACGAGGCCCAAGAACCCGGCTATTGGGTTGGACGGGCATCTTCACTCAGGCATAGTCCAAGCAATCACCTAAGCCTAGGTGCTGGGTGGGCCGAGCGATTGCCTGGTTCAACTTAGGCTAGGTCGAGCCTAAGTCAAACCAAGGTTTGATTGAACCAATTATCTATCGAGATTGAGTCGAACCAAACACAAGAAAACTAGTTTGTTTGAACCAGTTATCTATCGCAGAAAGCCGAAAACCATGTGCGAGAAAGAACCCTAAGAGAAACTCTCTTTCCCACTACATTTTTGCATAGCGACAGAATTCCTCCCATTGGCGAATGAATGACAATAGCAGCCTTCTTCCCTGACAGTGTCTTCCTCTAACAACAATGGTAGCAACAACGTCTTCCTCTAACGACATTGATAGCGTCTTCCTTTGATGATAGTGGCGACGTCTTCCTCCGACAACAACGACGGTGGCTTCTTCCCATCTCTCTTGATATATCTCTCTCTTTCTCCTCCTCCCTTGATCACTTGTACTAAAACTAATAACATAAATACACGCAAGATCTAATTGCGTCATGTCACCCAACATAATTAGAGCATTTCTTTTGCACATGATGTGTTTGTCCAATACAAAACAAAACATTCAAAGCGCTTCACACAAGGAAAAGGAAACCCTTTACTCATTATTCATCCATTGAAAATACAAAAATATATAAAGCACCAAATGCAACAAGAACATCTCTTTTGCGCATAATGCATCAGTTATACCCAATGTCACTAGCGCATCCTCATTATACGTGGTATGTCCATTTAAAGTAGAAAAGCATCCGACATGCCCAATGTGACTAAATCCATTTAAAGTAGATACAACCCTCTCTATGGAACTCAAGCTATTCGGGCTATCTTGAGAAACTCGGAAAAAATAGCTCCATTAACTTCGAGGGTGCCTCCTCGCAAAGGGGGTCATAGTGACTAAGCCTAAGTGACTATTTATCCAAAACACAGGTCTCCTCAAAGTCATAAGACCACATGTACGGGGGCTAGCAGTTGTCCAATCTTAAAAGGTCAAGGAAGTTGGTGACTTGATGACAAGGGAGTTCGCTACTAAAGCCCCAATGAATGATTCTTTTCTTGTATATTCTTGATAAACTAATATTTATATATAGATGTAGGAGAATTTGTTTAGGAAATAATACTCCTTTAACGTCTATTTATCTGCGATGACTTTTCAACATGATAACAAAGAGACAGAAGGCTAATCTTTGAAAAATTTCTCTCTAATAAAGAACATGGTGTCTCGTCCATCATTTGCTCTATTACCCCATATGGAACAACAGGATGAGCAGAGAAAGTGATGCTTGCCAAGTAAACTCATGGGGTCGGTGTAATATACAGATCATCACCACAAGCCTTCATTCCAATCCATGTCTTAGTCTACTCTGTTTCTTCTCCACCATGGAGTGAGCTGCTCAATTCAGCAACTCAGCCGTCCAAGTCTTTGTTTTCAGAATGGTGAAGAAACAAGTCTGATACTGTACAAGAAGTTTTTAGGTGCTAAACTACAAACATAAATGAGATGGGAATTAATGGCGTGAAATGATATCTTTTGACTATGTTTTTGATGAGATGGGATTTGGTAAATGTGAAAATCTTCTGACCCAAAGACTTGATCTTTCTCTCATATCGTATATGAAACTAGATATTATACATTAAAGAATACAAGCTGTATATAGACATATCTTATTTTCCAAGAATTGCCATGATATGGAAGCTAGAGAGAATATAATTTTTTTTTTTAAGTAAAAAGAATAGGGTGGTAAAAATTTCTCAAAAGTAACATCCCTAGTCCTAACCATGAATCATTCAACTCATTCGATCACTAATTCTCAAACTAGTTTCTCTTCAATCCAATATTGCTACTATCATAATAGAAGCCATATGACCTTTTATTGTCTTCAACGTACAGTTACTTTAAAACAAGAACTAGAGAATCAAATCGAGGAAGTAGATCAAGTAGTTAAGTCCGAACCATACTCGGGTGATGAAAATGAATTAGAAATTGAAGAAGCCCATGTTAATGTTATTCGCATCATTCTCTCTACTGCTAGTGATTCCAATGAAAAAAATAGAACAAGTAGCTTCTATATTTTTATCTAAAGCGGGGAGAGAACTTGCAAGTTTGTTATACATGGGGGTAGCACTATGAACATAGTCTCAAAATATACTATCAAAAGACTAAACCTTAAGGTAGAGTCATATTGGACATCATTTAAAATAGCCTAAGCTGGCAAAATCACTTTATGCGTGATTGAGAAATGCTTGTTACCAATCAAAATGGGTGATTACAAAGATGAGATTTACTATGATGTTCTACTAATAAATGTTGCCCAGATTCTTCTAGGTCGACCTTGGTTGTATGATCTCTATGTTACCAATCATGAGAGAGAAAACATCTGTCTTTCGGTACAAAGGTAAAAACATCATCATGCAACCAACGAAACCATTGAAAAATGACAAATCAAGAACTCTCAAATCCCTTCCACAAGCCCTAACCACTAAGGATCTCCACTTATAGAGACCCCAAGTCTTTTAAAGTAGAGAGTTTAAATGACAAGTTTTATGGGGCCACCATTGCTAGAAAAATTTCTAGTCCTTACACTACATTTGACCTAACTCATGAAGTTAAATGTTTGTTAAATGAATTTTTTGATGTCATATCTTTGGAATTACCTCCTAAACTGCCACCCTTATAGAAAATCCAATGTACCATTGATGTTGTCCTAGAATTAGCTCACTCCTTTACTTAACATATCATAATAAGATTCAACATCAAATTGCTTTGAGCAATTCAAATTACAAACTTGTTGTCAATGCATATTATAAGAGTCAAGAGTTTCAAGTTGGTGATTATATGTCTTGGTTCACATTCACCCTAAAAGATTCCCCAAAAATTCACTTAAGAAGTTGCATGCCTGAGCCATTGATCCTTTCCCCATTATTTAAAAACTGAGATCTAATGCATATATGCTTGATTTGCCTTTTGACTTAAATATTAGTCCATTTCTCAATGTGGAGGATTGAATTCCATATCATGATAATTTTGAGCCTCCTTTGTCTACCAGTGTTCTTGTAAGCAACGTTTTTTATTTCGCACCGTGCAACCCGATACAAGTGAGATGTACCGGTTCACCAGCCTATCGGCATGTGGACCGCTCGCTACCGATACAATTCTTCTTCCTAGATCTCGGAGTCAGGGTGCAGAACCCATCATTTCGATCATAAGAGAGGAGCAGGAGCAGGAGAGAGAGAGAGAGGAAAGGAGAAAACGGAGGGGGAGGGGTGGGATTGTGTGTCTCGAGGCCGGATAGGTGCGTGGGAGGGTAGCGGAGCTCGCTGGGAGGGACGCGGTGGCGACAAAGGAGGGTGACTAAACGACTGGCTTCGACGCGAAAGGTGATGGGAGGAGTAGGAGAGAGAGAGAGGAGGGGT